CACTGTCCAGTAACTTCTTTATTTGCCAGCTCTAAGTTTTCCCCTCAAAACCCATGAGCCTTGTACTTATTCAGATTCTTTGATTCTCTGCTTCCTCAGGTGTAACAAATATGAGAGATTTTTCCTAGAGAATAGAAATAAGTACATTTTTCAATGCAGAATGGAGGGCTAACTTGTATTAGGTCTAAACCACTTCAGAGTTAAAAGAGAATATTTTTGATTGTTAAAGTACTGCTGCAATTTCTTCCCAAATGTAGATATTCAAGAATAGCACACATTCTTACCGCTGGTCTAGGTATAGGTTTTTGTGGTTTCTTGGATCCCAGCTTCTTCATTGCATTGTAGTATTTCTTTTGTTCTTCTGTCAAGAAAATGTCTTGACCTCCAAGGTAAAATAATAATAATACAACTGATTACAGACAAGCTCTTAAATCCACTAATTCTCAGCATTGCAGAATATGGTTTCTTATGAACCATGTACCCATTCCTACACACTGTTATCAAAACTAAAATACATAAATTATACCAAAAAAAACGTTAAAATATCTGACAAGTCTTGATTGGACAAAACAAAACAAATTGAGGAACTGAGAAAAACCCTAGAACTTCTATTTGTTATTAAGAAACTACATACCTGGTTAATTCAATTAGACATGTACAAAAAACTATCATAAAAAGATACTTTACATAGATACTTATAAATCTAACATCATAAATGCCACACTCCACAGTGTAAATCAAACAAAAGTAAAAAAAGCTTCAAAGATAGAAAGATTCACTGAGTGCTGATATGCTTTCAGGGAAACCATATGAGGAAAAAGAAATTGCTGATGTTACTTTTCAGGATGCACATTTTATCATTTGAATACAGGTATCACAGTTCAGATTTTTTTTGCCACAATAACACTCCCACAGTGTATATGAGGCTTGATCATCTCCCTACATTGTACAGAGCATCAGAAGCATGGGCTTACTCTAGGGTTTTTTGCCTGAATAAGGGGACAACAGTGTGAGCAAAAGAGTATCTAAACTGGTATGTGTAATACACATATGGAAACATTTGCCAGAAATAGATTTATGTTGCTAAGTAATTTCATTTTTTATTTAATGCATTTGTTTTTAAGTACATTCCATGCACGCATGATGCCAAAGCAGTGGCATTTGGAAAACAATTTCAGTCAGATTTAATGTTGTCACTTGGCACCACAGTATGAGAAGGACATTAAGGTTCTGGAGCAGGTCCAGAGAAGGGCAATGAAGCTGGTCAAGGGTCTGAGGAACATGTCTTATGAGGAGTGGCTGAAGGAACTGGGATTGTTTAGCCTGGAGAAGATGAGGCTGAAGGGAGACCTTATTGCTCTCTACTACTACCTGAAAGGAGGTTGTTGTGAGGGAGGTGTTGGCCTCTCCTCCCAGGCTACTAGCAATAGGACAAGAGGAAATGGACTCAAATTGTGCCAGGTGAGGTTTAGGTTGGATATTAGAAAGAATTTCTTTACTGAAAGAGTAGTGAGGCACTGGAACAGGCTGCCCAGGGAGGTGGTAGAGTCACCATCCCTGGAGGTGTTAAAAAAATGTGAAGATGTGGCACTTGGGGACATGGTTTAATGGCCATGGTAGCGTTAGGTGATGGGTGGACTTGATGGTCTTAGAGGTCTTTTTCAACCTTAATGATTTTATGACTTTGCCACACCGACTTTATCAAATGCAGTGTCAATCATACTGAGAAAGTAATGATGAATCTGGTGAAGATACGTTTGAGTCTTTCAGCTGTAGCCACATATAGACAAGAAGATTTGGAATTCAAAAGAGATTCTCATAAGCCAAATATTCAAGTAAAAATCAGTTCTTAGAGAGTAAGGGTTTTGCAAGAAAAACAAAAAATTAGTTTGCTGATTATGGTGAAAATGTGATGTAACTGTCAGTAAACTTTTGCCAGTCGGGGGCAAGATGGAGAAGCTATAAAGTAACTAGCATTAAACTTGGGATTTCTTCTGCTGCCTCATTGATGCAATGGCTATCAAGAGTGGACAAGTCATCACCTCAGTGTCCTGTCCATAGGAAGAATAACAGTCTCAAAATATTTAGGAATTTGACAGCTAGTAGAACACTTTTTTATCCATGGGAACTAATATAATGAAAGCAGAATGCACACAGGGACTGAAGAAATGCACACAGTTTGACTACACAGGGACAGTATATTGCAACACGACATCCTCCATATCTCAACATCTGACATATCTCAACAACATTGCCCAAAACACAGAGATCTCAGTGATGCGAAGGCAGAACAAAGACAAGAAAAATACTGCTGAGCAGCCACACACTGCATGATCTGCACATTTTTATGAACACAGATGCATCTATAAATTCAGAAGTCAGGCAACTTATGTTCGCTAATTTGCTACATGAAACTGAAGAATAGCATGTACAATGAATTTTCCCCAGCCTAATTTTGTCCTTCGTGATACCTGCAGTATCTGACTTTCTTGGTGACAGTTACAACAGCTACAAATATAAAAGGAGTGAATACGACAGTGCCAGAAAAAGCTCTTTAGCAGGAACCCTTCTCAGCCTTGAGTCATAATGACTACAGTAGACAATGTCTGCCAAGCAAATTTAACAGAATTTTTAACCACCTCATTACTGAGTAAGGTCACCTTGTTACATAAAGGCTGCCAAAACATTAGTCTTCATCCCCAAGGATAAAAAAATGGAACCATCTTCCTCTTAAATACTGAAAACCCCTGATATTTATTCAAAGGAAGGTGCAAAGATCTTGGAGGATGAGTATGTCATCAGGTTTGGAACCACAAACACATCCTTTCTATTATATAGATCTGCAGATAAGAGACTCAAAAGTATTTCAAGAAGCAACATGTGAAGTTGCATGCTTCCTTCTCAAGTGGAAAGATTCACTGGAAATTTCCCCTGCAGTAAGTTTAGAAGTATCTTTTTCAGTACAATGAACCAAATTTGATAAACCATCTAGAATCACAAATTAAGAAATTATGTACTGCCTTGCTCACTTAACTTCACTCAATAAAAAACCAAACCAAACCAAAAAACCAAAAAATGAACAAACAAGCCCCACAATATTCCAGTATGATTCTGCTCTAAATGTGTACAGAAAAATAAGACTACTGTAGATCTTAGACAGCATTTATACTTTAAATAGCAAGTAGAATTTAGTTTGCCATCATAGTCTGCATTTTAATCTATTTAAATGCTCCTGGAGTTCTTGAGACAATCCTGCATTCATTTGAATAATAGAAAACTGTTGACGTTTGAAAATACGTAGTTTTTCTTTGAAATTGAAATTGTTTCTTTCTCTTGCAAGTTCACTTCTAACTCATGAGACAGTCTCCCAGCCCCTTCTAATCTTACAATACAGAGCAGTAGTTTTCGCACTCAGCTTGTCTGTATTAGTCTCATCATAACTAAGAAGACCTTCACAGTAAACTATATATTATCTGTTTATCAACTTTGATATTTGTAGTTCTGCATATTCTCTTCTTCACTGTCATCTGTTTGCTTCAGTTAAGTCATCTGTATTTTCACATAGCTTTGTCATAGCACTGTAAGGGTAAGCAAAAAACTATAAATAAGTTTGTGATGTACAACATATCATTGGGCTGTACAGGTATGTGGAAAACACTCAGGCACTCACTGTAAGTTTAAATTACTTTAAATAATGCCTTAAAAAGAAAACTATTATTTCATGATTTTGAATAGAATAAAAGGAAATCTTAATAGCTGTTTTTTTTTTCTTTCAATTATTATGAAAAAATTGAGACATTCATATTTATCCCTGCATGCATTTTCTGAATGCTCAATAACAATGAAGTGTTGCAAAAAATGTAATATGTGATACTCATCTTCTTTTTTTGTTGATTGAAGTTATCTATGATGACACCAATGAATAAGTTTAGAGTGAAAAATGATCCAAAGATGATAAAGGCAACAAAGTAAAAATACATGTACAGGTTGTCCTCATACTTGGGCTGTTTCTCTGTCTGTGTAACACATAAAACCAGCAAAACACCACAAATAACAGTTAAGACAAATTACAGAATACCGAGCAGGAAAAGAAGTAACATTTAACTGGACAGCAACTCCTTGACAAGGGGAGGAAAAACAGCTGGTTTGGGGCATACACTAGACTTGCCTTACCATTGAGCTTGAAAATCTATTTAATACAGGTATCTGTAATTGCACACACACACACAGACTTGGCATTCCTCCCCTTTCTATCTGCCAGTTCCTCTCTAATGACATTTGATGTCTCATGTAATTATTACTAAACGTGACAGAAGTGTGCAAATCTCAAAAGCAATTCAGTTCCTACGGAGTTTATGCAAATCAGGAGCTTGATAGAGGAAAAAATGCAAATACCAGCATTAACAGAAGAACAGGCAAAATTCAGCCATTTTATTTGTTAAGATCGTCAGAGTCTGCAGTTCTGGGTTACCAACTTAAGTTTTGTCACTTGATTATTTGGGTTATTTTTGGATACTGGAAAAAGCTCATTTCCTAAACTGTATAACCTTAGTGTCATAAATCAATAGGAAACACAATTTAATTTGTTTTGTTATTTACTTATTAAATTAGTAAACCTTTATGCTGATGTGCTGCTATAATTTTTTTAACTATTAAACATATATGCTCTTAACTACTTTATAATGCTTTGATTAATACGGAAAATTTATCAAGATTTTACACTTTTATTCTTTATATTTTACTTTATTTCAACTGCCATTCAAGAGCCACTACATCAATCTTACATGTTTTCACTCAGGAAATTTTATATTGCACTCACTTCTGTAGAATCAACTGCGGCATACATGATCTCTGTCCATCCTTTAAACGTTGCCTAAAAACAAAGTTTGATAATATTTTCCATCAAGGATCAAATTTTATAAACATTCTAAATAAATATGTGTTTGCATTCTAAATAATATGTGCTTGCAGCCACAAAAATAAAGGGAATATTAAAAGTCTGGTAAGACACAAATAAAGTATACACAGGAAATAATTTACGCTGGAATGCTTCTCCCTAATACTTAAACACTGATGAAATTCTAATCTTCATGGAAATTCATATAAACTCTATGTGGGATCAGCTGCAAGCAATATCTGAGCGTAACAAAGTCTGTAATTTATAACAAGGCTCCCAGTTCTATCTTTCTGACTACCAAAAAATGGATGAAAACTCCAAAAATCACCCACCATGGCATGGCATTTTTCAGATAGAAAAAGTCCACCACTATCCCTCAGTCCTTCCCTGAAGGGATGCCCTCAATCCATTCATCCTCCATCCTGTACTGATACTGGGGACTCCCCTGACCTAGATGCAGGGCCTTGCACATGGCCCAGTTGAACTTCATGGGCTCGCATGGGCCCACTACTCAAGCCTGCCAAGGTCCCTCAGGATAGCATCTCATCCCTCTAAACATATCAGCTGCACCGCTCAGTTTAATGTCACCTGCAAACTGCTGAGGGTACACTCCATCCCACTATCTATGTCACTGATGACGTTAATAAACAGCATTGGTCCCAGTGTTTACCCTTGAGAGACACCATTTGTCACTGGTTTCCACTTGGGCATTAAGGCACTGACTGTAAGTCTTTGGCCACAGCCATCCAGTCAATTCCTTATCCAACTAGTGGCCCTTCCATCAAACCTATTCTTGTAAGCTATGATATTAAGTAGAAACAAGGTATGAATGGTATGTTTACTGGAAACATTACACAGCTTAACCATTCTATGCAAGATATGTTACAAAAGCTAAAAGCATTGCTGTCCTCTGGTAATTTATGCAACTGCCTAGCACTATTTACCAATAGCTACTGTTACTCCCTAGAGTAATCAGATAGTAGCATGCTAGTACAATAGTAGCTACTAAATATTACCAGTTGGAGATTTAAGATGGAATAATTACCAAGTGCTTAGGAGCACAAAGATTTCCCCAGAAGTAGTTCATCAAGTGAACTCAATTAGGAATATTTAATGCTTCTGTCCTACTGGCTCCAATTTACAGATATTGCCTCTACAAAAGGTTTGTGAATCGAAATCTAGGACTAGTAAATTCTGCAACTTCTCATTTAGAGTTTAAAAACAAGCTTAAAAATATCTATGAAAAACTTACTTACCTACTTAGCAATAATGAGCAACTTTAAAACTTTTTCTAAATTAATAGCTGGCTCTCTTGTTACATGAAGATCAGATGAGCCCTAGATTGTATCTATTTGACTACCATGGTAAAGATGTAAGTCAACATGCCTTAATAGATCAAGCAAATAAAAGAAAATGAATCCTACCTGCCTTTTTTTTTTTTCTTTTTTCTTTTTTTTTTTCCCCATAGACAACTGCATTTCTGTAGAACTTGAAAAAGTACTACAGTTGGTTGCCAAGGAAATTTTTATCCATCTGGTGGAGATTAGATATTCCTCCTCTTCCAAAACAACCACTGAATATACCAGATTTTGACCATAAGTAATATTAGTCTGTTCCATAGAACACAATTAAAAAATCAAATCCCATATTCATTCATACATCATAAAATAACACTGAAAATTATGGAATTAAATGTAACTTCTACACAATGAAAATTAAATTACCAAAATGTATACACTTACTACTTGAAGCAGAGAAAGATAACCAGCTCCAACATTATCAAAGTTTACTTTTACATTTTGCCACCGAACGTCATCAGCAGTCATCGTAAGATTTTTACACACAGTTGCATTACTGACTTTCTCTGGCTTGAAAATCTCACCAGTTGTGGTGTTAACACAGTGATAGAACTTGCCAGCAAACAAATTTACTCCCATGATGCTGAAAATTAGCCAGAATGTAAGACAGACCAGAAGAACATTCATAATGGATGGAATTGCTCCAGTAAGAGCATTCACAACCACCTAGTAAATAGAACAGGAAAAAAAAAATTCTTAAAGACAATACATAGAGCAGCATTCCCAAATATATATTAAATACATATTGTCAAATATAGCAAAAGACAATGTAAAATATTAGCATACACTCATGTAATGCAAATAGAAAAGGAATAACATGTATAATACAATTAAACATCCTACTATTGGCCTTGAAGACAGCCATGCAGTTCAGTGATCCTCTGCAATTTTATAATTAGGCATATTTTCATGGATTTGTTTTATACACTATTTCTTTTTTTTTCTTACCCTCATGCCTTCAAAGCGTGACAAAGCTCTTAGGGGTCTCAAAGCTCTTAATGTTCGGAGGGATTTAATTGCACTGAGTTCTGAGAAACCAAGGGCATGAGCTACTAAGCTAACCAAGGAGACCTAGAGGAAACAAAACAAAAGAACTTTTAAATTATTATGTTTTATGGCCTCACAATAGAGATGTAATGCCTTGATGAGAAAAAACTTTGATCTGGATGTCAGAAAAAAGTTTCTAAGTATCCTAAGCTTCCAGCAAGAACAAACAAAAATGAAAGAAAAAAAGAATAGAACACTTCATGTAAATTTCCGAACAGTTTAAACAGAAAGAAACCTTCACCTCTGGAATTTTCATCACAGAGTACTACTTAGAAGAGTGGACATCATACCTGTGCAAAATGAAGGGCAATTTGGATAAAAAGAATATAAGTAAAAGCACATCGTCCCGATAAACTCAGCCAAAGCATGGAAACTACTGAAAACCTAGTCCCATTGTACATGATGCTACAGTTCTAAATGGTGCTCTACTACAGAAGCATTATTACAGTTATGATAAAATCTGAGTCAGCAACATTTGCTTCTGCTAATTTGCACTTAGAATAATTCACATAATAGCGGATATAGAAATAACTAGTAATTCATATTGCTTGCAGATGATGACAGGCTTGGAAGTGGTACATACTTATTGAGACAGGAGTGTGACACATGTAACTCCTAACTGCACAACAGACAGAAATACAGTGTCACTACAATTATTAAAAGCAATGCACTCAAATGCAAAACAGTAAACAGAACTTTCCTGGGAAGTGGAGTTATGACAGAGCTTATAATTCAGTTGTGAGCTATGGCTTATTGTCTCTTCAGACTACTGCAATCTTCATGTTTAAAAATTAAAATATCAAGTACCAGAAGAAAATCTACGTTTACCTCCATTTGGCAAAGAGCAAACACATCTTCTGGTGTTTTAAGTTCAAAATTTCAAACTTGAAGTGCAGTGTTAAAAATCTTAAGTCCAAGAATGATCAAGAAGCTGGCAGATAATGTTTTAGTTATTTGCCTTAGAGTTTTGAAATGTGTTGAATGATGGTATATTATAAAACATATATACAATAAGGAGAAACTGGCTAATTTTTTATGTCTTTAAAATGTAGCATGCAGTGTTTTAATACAATCAAGGGCAATTCTAAAAAATGAGGACAACATTTTCTGTAGGTGACACAAACTAGATAAAACCAAATTAATTCAGGGGACTGAATCTATGCAATATATGAAATGCAAGTCAGTGATCACTACAATGCCTTATGATGGAAGGCTGTGTTTATGAAATAACTCATCTAAAACTTTAGATAATTCAGCTGCTGAAGGAATTATAATTAGGCCACATAGTTCAAGAGAAGAAAATTTCATTGAAAAAAGAAAACTAGGAGAAGATCCAGAGAAAGAACACATTCTCTTTGTGAAATGACCTTTGTTCATGCCACCAATCTGATTTTCTATACAAACTGACTTATAACACTCAGTTTCAGAAGACTGTGCCTTCTTTAAATCCAAATGTTAAACAAACATTTAGCCCAGAAAGCATATAATCCTATATGAATTCATCAAGACCTTAAGATTATTACACCTTACTTTTATAATTCTAGAGAAGATATAGAGAAAATCAGTTCCATGTACTTCTGTCAGATAACCATATTTTCTAAGATAATGCAGCTATTAGAATTGCGTATTTATGTTATTAGAGAAATCCTCTTCCTGCAAGATTAGCGCATCCCTACTTAATGATGCTATAATTTTATTTTTCTTTAGAAACTGAAATACAATTTAACATATTGCTTTTTTCAGTTTCTGTTTTTGGAGGGGAGAAAGGAGAGGAAGGATAATGCATCTCAGCACATGGTGCTGATGGTAATTAAAGTTTAATTTTCCTAGTACAATCCATGGATGTGTGTGCAAGTGCATGCAAGCATTTTTTATTAAATAATTTCCTCATCTTCCTTATCTATGGCCATGGTTTGGCCAGCTCCTGATACAAGCTCCAAACTTTCTTCCACATATAAAAATGCTAGCTGTAACATTTTTGTGATGTAAAATTAGAAAATGATATTACATACTGCACGAGTAAATTCAAAATCTGTATTGTAACAGATAAAAGGAGAAATGTAAAATACAGACTATAATAACACGTAAGACAGAATCCATCCTCAGCTTCATTTCAACTTTCTGTTCTTGTAACTACCAAATAGGGTGTTTGCAGGAAAGCACATTGGCAATGTAAGGTGGAAACATCTTCCTTTGGATTTGCTAAAACTGGTTGTGTTTTGAACAATTCATGTGCCTTAAAATTTATTTCCTCTTTTAACATAATTACTCTTACAGAAGAGAGGGTCCAATCCACAAGAATTTTTGAAACCTTCAGTACATCTGGATTAACAGCTCAAAAACTGTTTTCAGATGTTAACAGCTGTCTATTTTCGGGTAAGAGTCAATGACTTTGATACTCACTAATTCTACTCTAGACAGTGTTCTCCTGTTGCATTTATACAAGGAAGCCTTATGCAGATTTCCTTCCTCTAAGGGTAGTTCAAGCAAGCTGTCCAACACTACACAACTCCATGTTTGTTCTCTTTCGTTATACCCTTTGAACTTGGACATGGAAAGCTGAGCAAAACCAGCATTTGTACTTGTTTTGGGGCTAATTATCCTTTCTGGAATCACTCTGAACATCACAAAGGGTAAGAATTTCTGTTTGTATGCTCTAAGTTCTTTCCCAAATAGAAGACAGCTGGAGAGTTTAGACTGACAGGTACAGAACAATTTGCCTAAAAAAAAACATGTCAAATTTTGCCTTACTGTGAAACATTCAATTAGACTGGTAGTGGTATGGCAAATAAGTCCAATGTTTAGATGGATAAAGGCATAGGACAGGAAGATAAAGCAAAGATAGATTTAAACAGCTGAGGGCAGCACACTGCCTCTTACCTAAACCATCAGGTAAAATGCCAGCAGTAAGAGAAAGAATTAAAGTTGCTTGCTACTAACTGAAAACAATAACAAGTAAATCTGGATATAGACCAGAAAACCTCCAAAAGGGCCTTCCAACTTAAATTATTGTATGATCTGGTGCTATTAGGTCATAAGATGTAGGCATTCCAAGCAAAAGATGAAGAAGGCTACATGAAAGCACTGAAATCACAAAAAAAAAGGAATAGCCTGTATCTCTCCATATGGAGATATGGTATGTTTTACTAAGAAGAACTATCTTAAACACAATTCAAGATCAAACTTTCACAATATAGACTTGCACAAAGTTACCAATTCTGAATATTCCTTAAACAGTAACATTTATTTATTTAGTTTCTTGCATTTTCACAAATGACAAATCTAATAGACAAATAGAAATGCAAATTTAAGTATTGCAAGATTCTGGAAACACTGTCTTGGAATCCTAACAGGAAATGAGGCTAAAGCATGGCATCAACAAATTTATGCAAAGACAACAAAATCTATCTGTGTGACTGACGATGATTTCCCATTAATTATAACATTGACATAAGTTTTTCATGTAACATTTGCGTTACAATTAAAAATAAAAAAATCAGAAGCCTATGGCATCCATAAAGAAAGCGAATAAGGGGGTGGGGGTGAAATCAAGCTCACTGAAATGGCTCTGCTTAGGTGCATCCTCTCCAACGTGGATAGCACAAGCAACGGTAACAGATGCTTCTCCGTTAAGTCTCTTAAGTGTCTGTATACCAATGCAAGAAGCATTGGGAATAAGCAGAGGGAACTGGAAATCTGTGTGCGGTTGGAGAGCTAGAATCTCATTGCGATTGCAGAGACGTGGTGGGACAGCTCGTGTAACTGGAATGTGGGCCTCAATGGCTATGTCCTTTTTAGGAAAGATAGGCCAACAAGGCAAGGTGGTGGAGTTGCTCTTTATGTGAGAGAGCAATTGGAATGTATTGAGATCTATCCAGGGGCGGATGAGGAGCAAGTAGAGAGTTTGTGGGTAAAAATTAAGGGGCAGGCTAGCTTAGGTGATACTGTGGTGGGTGTCTATTACAGACCACCTGATCAGGAGGAGGAAGTTGATGAGGCCTTTTCCAGGCAGCTGTCAGTAGCCTCTCAATCACAGGCCCTGGTTCTCATGGGGTATTTTAACTACCCAGATATTTGCTGTGGAAGGCCCACACAGCCAGCCATCCAGTCGTCCAGGAGGTCCCTCCAGTGCATCGATGATAATTTCTTGATGCAAGTGGTGAATGAGCTAACTAGGAGAGGAGCACTGCTGGACCTTGTGTTCACCAACAAGGAATGCCTAGTTGAAGCAGTGAAGGTTGAGGGCAATCTTGGCTGCAGCAACCGTGCGATGACAGGGTTCAGGATCTTGTGTGGTAGAAACTGAATACCAAGCAGGATTGCAACTCTGGACTTCAGCACAGCCATCTTTGGCCTTTTCAAGCAATTGTTACGGGAAACCCCGTGGGACAGGGAACTGGAAGATAAAGGGGCCCAAGAGAGTTGGTTACTATTCAAGGACCACTTCTTCCAGTCTCCAGATCAGTGCATCCCATCAGGTAGGAGATCAAGAAAGAGTTCCAGGAGGCCTGCATGGTTAATCAGTGATCTGCTGGGCAGACTCAGGTGGAAGGGGAGGGTATATAGATGGTGGAAGGAAGGGCTGGCCACTTGGGTGGCATATAGGATTGCTATCAGAGAATGTAGGGAAGCAATTAGAAAAGCTAAGGCCTCCTTGAAATTAAAACTTGCGAGGGAGATCAAGGACAACAGAAAGGCTTCTTCAAATACATTGCTGACAAAACTAATGCTAGAGGCAATGTAGGCTCTCTGGTGAATGAGATGGGTACCCTGGAGACAGAGGACAGAAAGAAGGCAGAGTTACTGAATGCCTTCTTTGCCTCTGTTTACACTGTTGGAGACTGTCATCAGGAGCATTGGTTCCCTGAGGCCTCAGAGGAGGTCAAGATAAAGGAGGAGTTTGACCTGGTTGAGGAGGACTGGGTTAGGGATCAGTTTGAACACTTGGACATACATAAATCCATGGGCCCTGATAGGACGCACCCATGGGTGCTGAGGGAGCTGGCGGAAGTCATTGCTAGGGCACTCTCCATCATCTTTGGTAAGTCGTGGGGAACAGGTGAGGAGCCTAAAGACTGGAGGAAAGTGAATGTCACTCCAGTCTATAAGAAGGGCAGGAAGGATGATCCGGGTAACTACAGACCGGTCAGCCTCCCCTCCATCCCTGGAAAGGTGATGGAACAACTTATCCTTGGCTTTGTCTCTACGCATATCAAGGATAAGAAGGTTATTAGGTGCAGTCAGCATGGCTTTGCCAAGGGGAAGTCATGTTTGACCAACCTGATAGCCTTTTATGAAGACATTACAAGGTGGATGGTTGGTGGCCATGGAGTGGATGTGGTCTATCTGGATTTCAGCAAGGCATTTGACACCGTCTCCCACAGCATCCTCATAGGTAAACTGAGGAAGTGTCGTCTGGATGACCAAGTAGTGAGGTGGGTTGCTAATTGGTTGAAGGGAAGAAGTCAGAGAATTGTAGTCAGTGGGGCAGAGTCTAGTTGGAGGCCTGTATCTACTGGGGTCCCTCAGGGGTCAGTGCTGGGGCTGTTGCTTTTCAATATATTCACCAATGACGTTGGATGCGGGATTAGAGAGTGCTGTCAGCAATTTCGCTGATGACACTAAGCTGGGAGGAGTGGCTGACACACCAGAAGGCTGTGCTGCCATTCAGAGAGACCTGGACAGGCTGGAGAGCTGGGTGGGGAGAAATCTTATGAAGTTCAACAAGGGCAAGTGTAGAGTTTTGCACGTGGGAAAGAATAACCCTATGTAGCAGTACAGGCTGGGGACTGCCCTGCTGGAGAGAAGGGTAGGAGAAAGGGACCTGGGGGTTCTAGTGGACAGCAGGATGACCATGAGCCAGCAGTGTGCCCTTGTGGCCAATAAGGCCAATGGCATCCTGGGATCTATTATAAGGGGATTAGCAAGTGCTCTGGTGAGGCCACGTGTGGAATATTGTGCCCACTTCTGGGCCCTTCAGCTCAAGAGAGACAGGGAAGTGCTTGAGAGAGTCCAGCACAGAGCCACCAAGATGATTAGGGGAGTGGAGCATCTCCCTTATGAGGAAAGGCTGAAGGAGCTGGGTTTCTTTAGCTTGGAGAAGAGGAGGCTGAGGGGTGACCTCATAAATGTCTATAAATATGTCAAGGGGGAGTGTCAGGAGGATGGAGCCAGGCTCTTTTCAGTGACGTCCAATAACAGGACAAGGGGCAATGGGTACAAGTTTTAACATAGGAGGTTCCACAAAAATATTAGAAAAAACTTTTTCACATTGAGGGTGACAGAGCACTGGAACAGGCTGCCCAGAGAGGTTGTGGAGTCTCCTTCTTTGGAGACGTTCAAAACCCGCCTGGACGCCTTCCTGTGTGATGTACTCTGGGTGATCCTGCTCTTGCAGTGGGGCTGGACTACATGATCTTTGAGGTCCCTTCCAACCCCTAACATTCTGTGATTCTGTGAATATATATATTAAAAATATATATATTCAGCCTCACTCATACTGTCTTAATTTTTTTTCCTTTGCCTTGTTGAGGGTGTCTTATCTTGCAGAATTTCATCTTATGGAAAGGGGAGAATCTCATACTTACTAATTTCTCAGAGATCAGTACATCTGTTGTGGGATTACACGTTGGACTTTATACTTGGGTGTTCACAACAGAAAGAATGGACAGGATGTGAATGGAGACAGCAGAAAACTTCATTTCCCAGAGAAAACTATTTTATTTCATGTCACTGAGTTAGCCCATTTGCTCACAATGGGGATTCTGCTCCCCTGCCCCATAACTGATGCTAAAAAGAGCATGCTTAAATGAAGACAGAAAACAAACACCATTTGTGCCTTTCCCTTAAAAAAAAATATTTTAAAAAGAGCATTAGGTAAGTTTCAACTCTACTGGTATGGAGCAAAATTTCTGCCCTAGATTCCGTCTGATTAAGCTTTTCCCTGTCCATTTGTTGAATTTTCACTCAAATGTCTATGCAAAGAGAAAGAACTCCTTTGTAAGAACATAACATGCAATGTCACTAATTTTATTGATTTCTTTGGAGCGTAATTTCAATACTACTTTTTATCTTAATTGTCAAAAAACATTAATTCTGTCACCTAAACCCTGGCTTTTTTTTCTGTTAGAAGAATTCAGAATTCAGAGAGAGAGCAAGAGGTATTCTCTATGATTGGAGACAGAGCCAAACAAAACTAAACTGACAGCTTCCAAAAAAGAGTCTTTAGAAAGTCATATGTTAATGAAAAATGGAAGAGTTGCACTGAAATCAGTCTTGTGGCCTAGTACACAGAACCGTAACAATCAAAATGAGGACTGCGAATGAATGATTCCTACCTTTTTGTATTGCTCCATAGGCCATTGTTTTCCACAATATTTCTCTTACTCCAATTGCTGCCTCCTTGCCCCCACCCCTCTTCTTCGTCTGTCTTCTCGATCTCCTGATACCGTTCTCCCCTGAAGTTCTTTGTCAGTGATTCATTAAGCCCAGAATCAATTGTTCTATCCCAATCCCATATGCTCACTTAAATTTCCCTTTCCTTTCTGTGTCTATTTTCTCCTTATTCTCTGTCACGTAATTCAGAAGACTAAATTCCAATCACCTAATAGTCCTCACTCACTGGTTGGGGCCCAGTGCAAAAAACCAAAGAACGCATGGAGTAAATGATATCATAAATATAAAGGCAAATTTAGTTATTCACTGATTAACTACAATGGAATATGATTTGCTAATTATGGCATTTTATTTTCTTTTATACCTAATTTATATTCTTCACTATATATATATGTATCATATTAAAGTTACATAAAAGTGCCTGTCTAAATAACAGACAGAGGCTTCTTAGAACATCTGGTACCTACATCAACAATCAGGAAGTCCAGCCAGCACCAAGCATTAGTGAAATAAGTTTGAAAACCATAGGCCACCCATTTTAGCACCATTTCCAGAATAAAGATGTAAGTGAAGATTTTATCAGCATATTCCAGTATGACTTTTATAGTCTTGCGCTGTTCAATATATATATCTTCAAAAGCCTATGAAGAATGGGTTACATATTAGTCAGATATACACAGGTCTTTGCAATATACAACTTAAGCCAAACGAACTGAATTTAAAATGGCAAAGTAAAATCTCTTTCAACTTTAGATGGTTTACCTTGAAAAAACAGCATGAGCAGAGATTACAGTTGCATTCTGAGTTTTAAATTACATCATTGCCTGATAATAGAATTGCAATATAATGACTGAAGTTGCCAAGAATGTTCTTAGATATTTCAGTAACAGTCAACACAGAATTACAGTGTGTCCCCCTGAAAAGCCCAGTCAGGCTCAGTCAGAAAGCAGTCTCCCAGTTATAACTGACTCAATTAACAAAGCAGAATAATGAACTACAGTGACCAAATATTACATTGCTGCCGATCTTTGCTGAATTCCAATACTGGATATTGGTGGCAGGGTCATAGTAGCAGGAGGCTGCAGGAGTGGCCACTGTGAGAGGACAGGGTCTGCCCTGTACTGGCTCCACAATGGACTGACGACAGGCAGCAGGTCAGTCTATCAGTGAAGCTGGTGGTGCCTCCAGGAAAACATATTTAAGAAGGGGCAAAACAGTACATGGCAGAAAAGTGAGAAAAACTACCCTGAAAACACCAAAGTCAGAGAAGAAGGAATGGACATGGTGCTGCAGGTGCCAGAGCAGAGATAATGGTAGTATATACCAAATCCTATGTCCATCAACACAGAACCCAATACTTAATAGGTACATGAAGGACTAAATGTCACTAAGAATACTATAAAGCAATTCAAGGATTCCTACATATCAGTCTCGAAGTAAACTAAGACTAAAGCAAAAAAATTAACTGTGAACATTAGTTCAAAAACTGTGCTGCTTCTGTGAACAATTTAAAGTAGAATAATTGCTCCGGTTATTGTATGCAATTAATTTTGTATGATTTTTATAATTTCTTAAGCAAGATTTTTAGTGTAATCCTGTTTATAAACAGCCTCACACACACATATCACCTTAAATTCACCAAAAATTCATCTGCAGAATGTTATTGGAGAGTAGAATTCTCATGATGTATTTTATCTGTACTACACAAAATACTCCGGGAGTTTAGTTCTAGGCTCTCATTCAAGGCAACTTTCTATTTTTTTTGTTAATTAGCACAGATGTATTATAACACTATCTTTGATAAAACGTTTTGCATCAGTACTGTTTCTGTGGATGCAAGCTCTACTTACCAGAGCACCGCTACTGAGAAGAATCATGAAGACAATGAACGTTTCAAACCAGTTGTGTTCTACTATGTTGTAGCAGGTTTTACGAAGGTTCCACCAGATTCTTCCTTTTGCACTTTCCATACTGCCTTTACAACATTTGAAGTTCCTCGTACAGCCTAATTATACAAATAATTATAAATTGTTATATGGCAGGTCACTTTTAACTAGCTCCTCTTTCACGAGCTTCAAATTACTGCATGTTACTTAAAACATCCTTATCATCTCAGTTTGACACTTCGGATGAAGTAAAACTTGCACGTACACAATCCTACTACTATCCTGACACTACATCAAGCTCGGAATACAAAAGAGTAAGTCATCTAACTGATGATTAAACAAATAATAAAAAATTATTTTTCCTTTCTATACAGATAATCAAAGACCATATGAGAATTGTCAGGGAGTAGAAACAAAGAGCATAAACAGATACCAACTTTCACATGCACTCAAGTAAATCAGCATCTTTTAAAAGTACTTTCGTATTTCAAATAAAATTCAAATAAATTAGACATAAACACCCTTTATTTTATTATACTGAGGAATGACCTCTGCTTCAAGGGCTGACTAAGGATACCCCTTTCATTACATAAACAATCGATTTAACTGGATATTGTGAGAGTTTTTCTATGTGGTACAGATTTATGGCAAGCATCCTGAAAATTCTGCCTCACCTTGGAGAGCTTATCATAAGGCCTCAAGGCACAGTTTTCAATGAACCTCATTATCTGCCTGGCTAATAGTAGTCTCCTTATTTATTTAAAAATTATTAATCACATAGAAATATAACCAAGTTTAAATAAGATTAATGGGTCCCAAAGGCAATATCCTAGTTTTCCTGTGAGTGTCATTAAGTTCACATGTTACAAGTAAGCTACAAGATATTTCATCAAATCAGATAAAACAGCTACTACTCTGAAGAGCATGATCTACCTTACCTTCAACTACTCAAAACACCTATATCATGGAAAAACTAATCTTATGACCAAAGACTAATAGACATTACATAATATAAGGGTAAGGAAGAATTGTAACATAAGGTGATATTATTTGAGAAGTGCACTTTTTTTTTTAATCAAGAGATTGGTATATTTATGATAGCTCCACATTAAAAAAAAATTTCTCTTCTAGATGAGTGAAATATTTCAAAAGGCAAGAATCTTTGTCTAAGTCAAAGGTGTCTTCATAACAGGAAATCAAATATCATAGATAGGATATTTTATTTTGAATGATTTTAATAATGACTTAAAAGGAAAGTAAATCTGTAATAATACAAAAATGGGAATTACATTCCTAAACAGTAAATTTCAGTAGTCCCCTAGAGGATATAGCTATACAGAACGAATCAAAACTTCTAAGGACATGAAAGTATGCTGTTAAGACTTCTTTACTTCAACAAAAACGCAGGATCTCGTTCACTTGTGGCATCCCACATATTTATGCACCCACCCCTCCCCATTAATTGTATAACATCAAGAAAATAGCTCTATTTTTTGAGTCAAACTTTCCAAGATCTGAATCATCCACTGGACTGCTCTCTAGCACTGTGAAGGGAGCATGAGTAATCACATGATTTGGGTTTAAATTTCTCAGTGTAATGAACCTGGTGTAGTTTGGTCTTGCAGATTTCACTGCTGAGAACGAACACCATTTAAATCAACAGGCTTACTAACTGCTAAGAATCGGTTTAGAGAATTTTGCCTAGTGTTTATTTTAAAGTATTTTAAAGTATCACATACACACACATATTTAACTTTGCACCACACAAATGGCTCCACAGACTTTCAGTACAACTATACAGCAGGCAAAATTTATTATATGACAGGACTTGACAAACTAGGACTGATGTAGTAAGAAGCTTCCTTGAACTGCCAATGCTTGTTGCAAATAACCAAAATGTAACTGCTAACCCCAAATTTTATTTCCATACCTTCTGTAAAGCACGCTTGTAGCTCCGATGCTTTTTCTGGTTCAGTTTCAGCTTTTTCTTCTCTAGAGAGAGCTAAATTAATTGTACTTCCTTCAGATGAGCTGGAAAAATCTAGCTTCTGAAAACAAAATTTGGTAACAGTTATACTTCATTAATATTTACTTTTTTAGAGCTGTAATTAAATTTAAGCATGCAACACTGTGGAAGTAGTAAGAACAATATTTGTCACCAGAAATACAGACAAGCATCCACATGTAGCAGTCAATGCTGTTGAAATGTGTGTAAATCATCCACTTTCTAGTACCTACAGTTTGCAAGGCCTATCATGTAAACTTTCACTGAATTTCAGAACTTCTGGTCTAAATATAGTAAAGTGTTATCGCTATACTAAATATAGTAGAGTGTTAAGTTAACCAGGACCAAGTAAATTTTCTGATACACATTCTATTTATTTTGGTTTTGCTTATTAGTTTCTTACTATAATTTCTCTTGCTACATTTTAAAACAATACTGGTTATACTGTATGTTTTAAGATGATGCATATTGTTAGCTATTTTCATTAAAGCAGTCTCTGCAACCTGAAGACAGTAAATCTGACAGCAAAAAAAAAATTAAATTGTGAACTGTCAGGGTAAAGTGCCAAATGAAGAAAAAGCAGCAGATTTTTAAGGACTGATTTTAATTCAGTGCTCATTATTCATAATATAAAAATAAAGAAAATTAATTATCGGTTCTTTTTTATTGGCATCTTAAACGTCAGTGTGATGCAAACTAACCACTTATGACATATATGACAAATTATAATAAGATTTGGTCACCTTTGACAACAGATAATTTACATCTTTTTTGTTTTAAGATCATTCTTATGATCTAGAATGGAAAATGCTAAAGTAAAATCAGGATTAATATGAAACCCTGTTTCAGATGTGAATTTAACATTACCTTCAACACATTCATAAAACAAATTAAGCCTGCCCTATCTTAACCCTTAATTATCACTACCATATGAGGTCTTTCTATGTTTGTGTTTTTTTTAAACGTACTCATAAGCTTCAAAACAGGAAAAGTATGATAAATACATTTCAACTGGCATTAATTTGCATTCTTTTTTCCCAATGCACACATGTATTACATCGTGCATTCGGAAACTACCCATTACTCTGGTACACATACCTGTACAGTTAACACCCAGAAAAAAAGAATTTCTTTTATTTTAGTAATTAAAATTGCATGTCACATTAGTACCTTAAAAATTACTAATAAAAGAATAAGCCTTAATTTATTTTTAATTTTTTAATATGTATATGTATTACAAAAATCTGCAATGTAGAGATTTTAAAGGAAGATGTGGTGTCCTGTACACTTAATCTGAGTATGAGTACCAAACTAAGTCAAAGTAGTTTTGGTCACAGCATTCTGACATTTTACAATGTTAGTTTCAAGAATTATACAATATCAGAAAGGAATTCACACAACTAAATGTCTGTAGGGAATGATGTAAGCACACTTTGTAAAACAGCCTCGGTTTTGTACAATTAACAACATTTTAATTAATGTAGCTAGACTTGCATGATTAGAAGACATTTAAAATATAAAGCAGACAAGTTACAGGCAACATCCAATCAAGCTACGTTTAAATCTATTGTAAGATGTAAAAGGACACAATTATTTTAGGTATTAAACAATTTACTTTTTTTTTTTTTTTCTGTATTTGTGAAAGAAGATAGAAATGATTTAATGACAAAAAGTAACCCAGTGTTCCGCATTAACTTTTATTAAAAATGATCCAGTAATATTGCCTACATTGCTGCTACTTTAGAAATTGGTTATCTGGAATATAATCCCCAAATTACTCTATATAGAATCTAAACACCTCTTTTCATTTTTAGTAGCATTAATTTTAAGATAGCAACACTCACAGCAAATATTTATTCCTATTGCTAATTTCACTGAATCAGAGGATAGCACTATATAACTCCATCATTTTACTAATATGCTGCTTTCATCATTCCGTGACATAGCATGTATGTTGCAAAATGTTGCAGCAGTAGTATGTGAACTTAAATAATGAATTTAATTATAAACCAAGTGACTAATTTTAATTTTTAAGAGTAAGGAAGTTTTGCGTCGTATTACTAACAAAAATTAAAAACTATATTAAGTACCATGGGTCATTTGAACTGTAAGCTACTTAGTACACCGTTTGAGCAGATGACATGTATTCAGCTGAAAGAATACAGCTTTATATGAATCAACATTAAAAAATGAATAACCATAAACAGAAAAGAAACTAAAAAGAATCAATGCATTTAAAACATGAAGTTATATATCTCATTTAACACATGGTAGAAGAGTCGGAGATTAGAGATTTTTTTTTTTTTTTTTAAGAAAGGCAATTTTATTCACTGTAGAAATCAAATTAGAGGCTCAATGAGCTATTTTGATACAAAGGACAGGTAGCCTGGTTCCCTCTTTCTTCTAAGGACAGTGTAGGATATAATCCAGTGTTTAAAGAACTATGGATTTAGTTAAACATTGATTCTCTTTTTCATGTGAGGTGCTTGTACTTTTCACTAAGATGAAAGTATCAAACAAAACCCCCAGACAGTAAAAGGCAATATGCATGGAAGAGTCTCCTAATTAAGGATTCAGTTAGTTTCTTTGCTATGTACGAAGTTCACAGAGATCTAACTGATTTTGTGAATCACTCCAGGAACAGGAATTTTAGGAAAGACAGAAATATTCATCCTTAACCTTTCAGGGCACTTAGCTGCTGTTCAAAGTTTATCAAACTAAGGTAAGAAGGCCTCATTGTATATATACTGAGCACTGGATTGAATGGGTCAACTCATGTACTCAAAAGTTGATAAGCTGCCTTGATGTTTGCAAGTCAACAGCTAGAACATTTTTGTTAGACATTTTTGTCACATTGCAATCTTTTTGTTTATCTTTTTCTGAAAGAATAGAAGTATGCCTATGAATAAAACTTGGAAACTACTTACATAATTATCTATTTTATCTTTAAAGAAAGCTAAAGTGTTGTTCAGAGAAAATACTTAGGTCAAAACCTACCGCTCCTACTCTCTGTAATTTAGGAAAAAAAAAAAAAAAAAAAGGAACCCACGGCTAGTACAAAAAAAAAAAAACCAAAAACCAAACCAAACCAAACCAACCAACCAACCAAAAAAACCCCACACCTTATTATGCAAGGAAGGTTTCAATAAGATCATGTGACAGCCAGATAAAAAAGAATCAAGTATTTTTCAGTCAAATGATTACAAGCCCTTGGTTTATTATTTTGCATGCTATTCTACACCTAGCCAGATTCATGACAGTAGAAACTTGAAGCAGGAGCAGTGTCACATAAACAAAATCCATTACATTGGAATTATACACACACACCAAGCACCAGCAGGATCGGATACTACCATGTTTTGCTCTCTCCTACTTAAATGTCTTCTATAAAATGGTTTGGAAAGATACTTTTCCCTTCTGTCTTTCTGAGTAGCTTACATGCCACCTGGGCACAAAAGTGAGACGTGAAATACTTCCAACATATAAAACAGTGCAAAAGAATACAAGAAGGATAATTCAGAATTCTGCAAGAAAACTGTGAACAAAATTTGTACTTGGAAAAGCAATACCACAATAACTATGACTATTGACCAGCAAGGAGCAGAACTACTCCACTATTCAGGAGCGGTCATCAGGAATAAAAAACCCACAGCTTGGTACAATTCAGGTTTGTTTTATAGTTCTGGGGATCCTGAGCTTAGAGGTTTGGGAGGGCACTAGTTCCTATTTTTTCTTTTTAACACTTGTTTTCATTTTAGCCTTATCCTCGATTTTCCTATTTTTTTATTTTCTATCTTTCCTGAACTTCCTTCTTTACACCATTTTAAATCACCCAGATCTATTTAGAAACCTACATAGAATCCTTTCTGCTTGAAATTATGTTTTATTTCTTTCTAAAAATAAAGCAACTGGATTAAGTTCAAAGAAACAATTATTGATGATGAAGAGCAAAACCAATAAAAAATATTCTCTAGCTTCCAATCTTAGATATACACAAACTTCATGAGTAGAATACAAGTAAATTATTACATCCATATTCAAAAACACTACGCATATAAAAAAAAAGTATGTTTGACTGTTTCCAGGAATGTCTCTTTCATCCTATTCTTTAGCTTATCTTATATGAGAAAATGGGAATGTAAATTATAGAAACATTGTGAACAAACATGAAACAATTTATATCAATAAACATTTTAACATACAAGTAATTGTAGATATGTAATATTAAAATGACATTGGTCAAATGAATACGATCAGAAAATGTTCATAATTACACGACAGCTAAAAACATGGCTCAACAGATGAACAGAAAAAGTCAAGTGAAGATTACCTTTCCATTTTCATAAAATCATAGGCTGTAACCTCTTTTAAACTTGATCTTGATGCTTTATGATTCCGTTAACAATAACAAAAACCTACAAAGCATGCAGGTTACATCACAGAAGTAGTACAGAAAATACCAAAGATGTAACAAGGAGAGAGGAACATGGGACTGCCCTCAACCATGCTGTGAAATGAGTCATGGGACTCAGTTTACAGAGCGGCTGTGCATGTTTTCACTACATTGCAATGGATGGGGAAAAATATATTGTAGCTGAGTAGCATGCAGGCCAATCAATCTCAAAAGTGATCATATAGGTATGATTTGTTTAGGTAACCTGTGTAAACATGCTGACACGTTGCTCTGCCTGGTTAAAAAGCACCAGATCTGCATTCTTGACTGATCCAGCTTGATTTTACTCCTGTGAGAAGTAAGAATGGTACGCAATGAAGTTAAAACACGGTACCCTTTAGGTTGTTCGAGTTCTGGAAACAGCAGATGTATGTATTCCTACTTATTTAAAAATGTGTTTTCTAGATAGGTCACACATTTGCAAAATATAATATTTATAGCTGTTGATTAGAGCTTTAAGCATACTGAAAGAGGTAAAATTAGCAGAATATCTGGAACCATAGATGTGTATCTGACCTTGCCCTGAACTTAAAGGAAAAAAAAATCCCAATCAAAAACCTCTCTACCATCCCCCCCCCAAAAAACCCTACAAACCAAAAAGACAGATACACTCACACTATGTATATTACAGTTTTAAGAATCCTCTAAATGTCATTAATTAGTAATTAGACCTTCTAAAAAAACAGAAATATTTTGTCTTGCATTTAAGTTTCAGGGTTACTCCTGGTCTTTACTATATGCTAGATTTAACACAGTTATCAGGGCTGGAGTATATTACCTTGATTCACTAGATTATGGATTTCTTCCACAAAACAAGTTTTATTAAAACACACTGAGAAGGCTAGTATCCTTTATTTAGATTAATACATAAAGATGTAGCAACTGCTCCACAGACATTATCGCTTCTTTACAAAGTGCAGTTAACACTTTGAACAAGTTATGAATATTGTTTGCTTTGCTTTTAAAAGCCCTTTCAGTAATCTAAGGTCTTATCAGCTGAGAGGTCAAGATAATATATAGAGTTACAGAACCCCCAAAAATTGGATGGAACAAATCAAGCAAGTATGAGGAAATGAGCTGCTGAAATAACAAATAAGCATATTACTATTGAATACTGTACTCTACAACAAAAGAAACACCTGAAGAGTCACCTTACTACACCTTTCAAATTTAAGTTAAACTACACCTTGCTACAACAAAACTTATTTTCTAAAATTTGGAAATACTATGGGCAAATTCATTGCCAGTTCAAAACAAAAAAAAACCCCAAACCTAAAAAGCCCACAACCAGTCAAATAAAGAAAACCCCAAAACCCTAAAAGAAAACAAAACAATCCAGACAAAGCAATCCAAGCTGGAGTATGGCTGTGTGCACCAGCAGTGATACTCCATTAATGTCCTTGTGTCTTCAGGTGCCAGGAGAGTTGACACCAGACACAGTCATGTACTGGAACAACAGCATAGCAATCTGAATTTTCAAGTCTCTCTCTTTGCTTTTCCACTCATTTGGCAGCTTCTGACAAATGCTGCTGACTCCTTTCCTAAAGCTGACACAGTTAAAGGTCAGGCGGTTGTCTTTGAAGTGACTGGTTCAAAACTCCCACAAACAGGCAATAAATGAATATTTTTTCATTCGGTAATCTATTTTTTTCTCATCACTTTTACTTGATACATTCACATAACACTGACATTGTTCCCTTGCTTTTCCCCATCTTTTTAACTTCAGAACTCAGAAACTGTTGTTATTGCTCTCATTAGCCTGAGTTAGCACCTCTGTTAGATTACCCAGTACAAATAATGCTTATTTCTGTAGAATTCTGTGAGTTTTAAAAATCAGATGCAAAGAGTATTAATATTCTTTCTTAATATCTCCTCTAAATATTTTAAAATTACTTTCATCCTTACTTCATGAAAATATTTTGATTATATATAAGAAAATGTGTTTTGTTTCTGTTTATTCTGTATCTATATAATCTACTTTGTCTATCCAATAAAAAAATTAAGAAAGCTTGCTTTTAAAACCCTTTTATAAATGGGTTGACACATTTATACAGTTCTGCCTGGCAGTTCTGCATTCTCTTCAGTTCCACTTTCTACTTCAGTTCATTCACTCTTAGTACAGTCCAACAAGCTTGAATCACAATGGCCTTCTATTTCTAAGCAGGAAGAGCCATATTATGAAAAAAATACAATTCATACAAAATATAAAATATTTAAATTTTACCTCCTTGCTTTCCTCCAAATCTGAGTCACTGCTGAACTCTTCTGTATTTAGATGCTCAAAATCAGATTCTCCAACAGCTATTGGTACTGTAACAGTAACACTTGGGTTGTTTATGAACGATGTATAATCACTGCCACCTATAACAGTGGCCATTCCATTCTCATTTTTGTGATAATTTGTATCTATCCTTATTTCAGTGATGGTACGGTTGGAAATGCAACGGTCTGTCTCAGCATTCAAGTGATCTGTTGTTGCTCTTTGATTTACAACAGCTTGTTTCCCCCAGAAAGACTTTTGGACACATTCACCTGCTTGTTTCTTCACATAATCTATTCCCTTTTGGATTCTTGCAACAGCAATCTGTAAGTTGTTCATTTCATTATCATCCTCTGTAGGAGAAAGGCTATCTGAACTAAATGAACTCAGTAGCAAGGCCAGAAAAAGGTTCAATACCTAAAAAAAAAAAAAAAAGACAACAATACATGTTTTCCTTTGCTGTACACAATTCTGGAAATTACATGGTAAATAAAATGTAAATGCAACTTAAGTACAACTGCCCTATACCCCAATCAATTTTTTTTTTCCAGTTTTGCAACGCTGTATGACTATGAAGACACTTTTAAATTCTCTTTCTCCTCATCTGACCACATTCTGACCTCATAAAGGTCAGAAATGAATGATTCTTTGGTATTGACTGAACAGATCCAAAATATTTACTTCTCTTGCACAGGGAAGCACTGCAACAGAAGATAAACCTGATGCGTGCAGAAAATGTCTTTCTTAAATGCTGATCCAAACTCACATAAATATTTTTCTGTATGCAACTTAAAAAATGTGAAGCACATCTGTGATGGTTTG